TCTAGATTTCAGCAATAATCATCATCATTACATTCAATAATAATTATTAAACTTATTTCACCCCCTTTATTATAACCAGTAAATCTAATATATTTTTTTTTCTATAGTTTCATTGCTTTTACAGAAAAACATCGATTATAGATCAGTATCCACTATTTAAAGAGAAATGTCGATCTGTCGACGATAAATCCAAAAGTCTCAGAAATGCTTGGTGGCGCAGTACAGGTACAAACTAGCGTCATACAATGCCGGACGTGTGTAGTAATGCAAGAGTCGCTTTTTCCAGACTCCCCACGACTTTGCGTCTTTCAATTTCGGGATTGGTCGGTTCAGCAATGTAATGGGTGTGCCAGTCTTGTAGTGTTGAGCAACCCAGTACACGGCGTCATAGATACCGTTCTCGCTGGAATTCAAAAGACATTCGCAAAGCTCGTCCTAAACGGAAAAACATTCAGCGCTTAGTCGGCGTTGGGTTTCATGTTTACCAAGGAACATTGTCTCCTAGCCAACGTTTTCGAAGGTTAGCCAACAATTAGGAAACATTGTGGTCTCCCCACTGGATTCCTCCATTAAATATTACACTTGGAAAACAGTGAAAACTTTGGTAATTAGTTGGGAGACTATTTCGCTTCCAACAATGGCATTATCTGGAACTGACTAGGCCAAAACTTTTGGCACAGACAAGGAATTTTCGGCATATTGACAAGCAATAAACCCATGGTATCGTCTGTCAAATCAACCGTACTATTAATAATGAACAAATTTTTTAACGCTTTGAAGACGTCTTGAAGTTGACGTCTTGAAAAAGACGTCTTGAAAAAGACGTCTTGAAAAAACGCTTTGAAGTTTGCTGCGTTTTACATGTAAGTTACATGAAGTAATAACAAAACTTACCTGAGGGGGATTCTTCTCAACGGTTTCTTTATACGTCATCAGCACACGTGACCACACGTCATGCATGTGAAACTTGTGCACAATGCGTTCGGTCGATGACCAGTTCGGTCCGAGTCCATCATCGTCTTCACCAATGCGCGACAAAATGGCGTCAATAATGTTCATTGTATTCGTGGTAAACTGCTCAGTCATGTGATCTTCTGGGGCGTAAGGAAGAACCAAGTGACTCTAGGAATGAAATTTAGGCCGTGTTTATGACCCTTAGGGCCGACCATTAGAAAAGTGATTCACTTCAGCTTGCACGAATTTTTTTCGGCCGTCTACTTGTGCCGGATTTTTTTTTTCGGAATTTTCAAGATATTTTTCTTTGCTTTTCGTTTTACTCGAATTTTTTTCTTTTGTTTTTCTTTGCGCGAATTTTTTCGTCCTCCCCAGTCACCATTTTTCCAATGGTCCTCCTCTAAACTCTTTGAGTAAATTCAGTTGAATTTGGTGCGGTTCATGAAAAGTTCGACGTTTGAACTTGTCTTAAGCTTTTCTTAAACTCTATAATATATTGCATGTGACTGGTGAACGAAATACTAGTAAATCCTGAAATACTACTGATATAATACTATGAATAATGTAGGTACCATGTTTACTGCTGTCACGGGCGGCCCAAACGTACAACTCCTTTTTAATCATATATTAATAGCCACTACTAAGAGTGATTTTTATTTTATTCCCACAAGAAGAATTTGCTTATTATTTTATAAGAATTCGCTTGTTCAACTCGACTGCTCGGATGTCACTATAAATTAATAGGAAGACATTGCAGAATAAGTCGAAATCCGGCGCAATACATCAAAACCAGTGACTGGACGGCATGGAATTAACACTGGGATTTTTAAATCAATGAAGTGACAATGGATCATTCCTATCACTGGATCGTGACTGGATGGCACAGTATTGATTTTTGAGCTAAGCATATAATATAAAAGGACAACAATTCATTGACAATGAAACCTTAAATACCTCATCGCTGATATCATGATTTACAGTCGGGACGTTGTTGTGCTCTGTCGCACGAGGATTGAACATTCGTAGTCCTTGGACGGTCATCGAGTGGATAGTATGAGCAATGGTTTCGTTAAAGTTGTCTGACATGTCATAGAGATAGTACAGTTCACTGCAGCCACCTTTTGCATTCTTTACCACCGCGCTATGTGCGCCAAACACACAAAGTACGAGGAAAAATTCAAGGGAAAACATCACTGCGCAATGCCAAAGCCAAAATGCTCGTTCTTGAAAGATGCTTCAGACTAGCTTGCTGGCATGAGAATCACGATACGTGTATATACATGTACTGCTGATATGTTAGTTTAAGGATTAAACATTTCATCACATTTCACCACCTCATTATTGTGCGTAGCGTGCGTTGTTTGCGCTAATTATTTAAATTAGGAAATGCGCAAACACTCCCCTGGGTGCATGTGTTCGTCATAACTACGTACGTTATTGATTGTCATTTGTCACATATATGTACTACTAAAACTCAATCATTCTTCACTCTGACTCTGCTGTGAGTACATTGTAAATATCAAGGAGCTATCCAATCAACTCCAAAAGTCAGATTCTGTCACCGTTTTTTGGTGAGAGAATAACCGCACTTTCTTGGAGTTGAGTCAACTACTTGAAATTTACAGTGTATGTTTATTTGAGAAGTAGAGTGCTCGACACTTAATTAACGCACACTATACAAAATTAACCTAATCAAGATCAAACAAGGTCACTAGACACTACATACAGTGTTAGTGCTGCGACCAGCATGTTTACGTTTACTTAAAATATGTATATACATCTACGAAAATCCTTATAAACAAGTACAATAATATGTTTACTAACTTTAATATAATTCACAGGCTGTAGGAAAGTCCATCTTTTAGTTTGTTTTAAAGTTGAATGTTTGCCAAGTGTATCAATATTTATGCTGACACGTTTGAACTTGCATCTTCGAGATTAAAGACCAAACCAACAGCTAGGGATTGGAAAAGAGTTTTATCCAATTTAAAATGCATAAAATATTTCCGAGACGGTTTAAGGTACGCTTGTCTAAGTTGTCTTGGAGTACGTGCAGTATTCCATTTCTATTACAGAAATATTGTCAGAGACTTGATAAAAAGACTTTTCTATCAATTTTGATACGACTGAGAACTACTGAAGTCTGAATAGTCGAGGATGGAGTGGGATCTCTCACCTACACCCCCATCTTCCCCTCCTCCAACCACCCCCTACCTCCCCTTACAATACTTTCGCTTCTGTGGACATAAAAAGAGAAAATAATATATTTTTATTATTCAAAAGCGAACTGTCTGTTCGTCAAAGACTTCGCCACCTGTTTCGATGGATCACTGTACCTGCATCAGTAACTTTGTGAAGTCAACTGGAACAATATTATAAATTATCAACAGAAAAAGTTAAATTCTAAGTCCTTTTGAAAATAGAAACAATTTGTTGATAGCAAGTGATAGATATATACTGTAACTTGAAACCGGTGGTTGAAGAGGGAAGACATTAAATATAAGTGAAGGTAGGAAGACACTACATCTTAGATATGATTCAAGTGTAGAACAAAGATATTATTGTTTTGGGTTAACTTTACTTTGTTAATGGATTAAACTTGATTGATTGGTCAATTTAAAAAGTAGCAGTGTTATATGTGTTCATGCTATACGGGGAAAAGATTTTCAATTTGAACAAGGAACTCGCACGGAACTTGACAAAACTGATTAGACCAGTGTAAGTTCATAGTTCAAACTGACAAGCACTATCGCCTAGACATGCACTACAAAGAGATAAAGCCAAACTCAAGAGTTCACCTTGAATTTGACCGTGAGAAACTGAATAGTGACTGACCTGCTTTTCTACTTTCTAATCAAGGTGCCGGACTGATAGAGCTGCTCTATAGCGGTAGAAATTCACCATGCTGCGGCATCTCAACTGGGCTTGGGCATGTATCGTTCTATGTGGGTTTTTCGTCTTGCAATCTTTAGCAGATGATGGTACGTGGGTGCAATTTGTTTCAATATAATTACTGTATATATATGCATATATTACGTCTAATCGTTTATAAATGATACATCTATAAAACTGTGTTAATTAATTGTGAAATAATTTATGGTTTATCCAGCCTGTTAATATTGGAAATATTAGTCTAAAGTATTTTTGATCTATTCCTAGCATATCACAACTCTTCCAGAAAGAGCGTCTTCGTGAAATTTGCTTTTTTCTTCTATGATATAATGCATGTAAATGCGTCACGTTTGAGATACGCCTTCGTAGTCAGTTCAGCTCTCAATCAAGTCAGGCGAAGAGAAGATAATTAGCATCTCTACTTTACATATTGACATTGTGCACCTAGAGTTCCGAATTTCGATAGCTGAATCATGTATTTTTTTAAAAAATGTTCAGAATGGACTTGACTGCTATTTTAATCATTGTCTAGGAAGTGGAAAAGGACTTCTTATTCACAATGCATTTCGTAAAAAACATCATGCTCCACCGCTGATCTGGAACACGGAGATGGCAGGCCGTGCAAACAAGATGGCGACAGAGATGGCAACTAAAGGAACCTTGGATGTCGCTCTGGTTAAATCTATTACGAAATATGGTGAAAATGTTGCCAGAATTTCAGGTATCGAGCTTAGTTAACTGTTCGGGTTGTTTGAGAGAATGATAAGTTGCGTCCACTAAGTAAATCAGGTCATCCGCGTCAATTACAATGAAATATATTTAATCATAGGAGACATTTTGACTACCGTCCTGGTATTTTCTAGATCCCAGTTCAACCAACGCAGCCAACTGTGACAATGCGTTCGAAGAAGCGGTAAAATTGTGGTACAATCAAGTGAAAGGATATAGTTTCGCTGCGCCAAGTCTCGACTCTGATACAGACACATTTACTCAGGTGGGAACTCAATCTTGTACCCTTCTCGAAGTACTATTTGATGTATCTACAACATGCATGGACGCGAATGCCTTTGTAAATGGCTTGTGAAACGTCTCGATGAGAATATTCGTATTCTTTAACAATTTAAAATAAATGAATGATCATTAGGTGCGAAAATTGAACTAGTAAAATGTATGTAAATCAGCATGATTTTGTATCAGATTCAGTCAGATATACAAACTCCTTCACGCTCGTGATTTCTATTGTGTTTTCTTCATGAGTTATTAATGACTGTTTCACAATCTACTTTATTCTATTTATTCTAAAATTTTAGTCTATCATTTCTCTCTTCCATTAAATTACGACCAATTTCCTTTCGTAGGTCGTATGGAAAGACGTATCTGAGCTGGGTATGGGCTGCAGTAAAAGTCCCACGAAAAATGAAGTATACGTTGTTTCTCTGTACAACCCCCCTGGAAACATTCCCAGCAAACTCCGCTCGAACGTTTTGGATCCCACAGGAAAATCCTCGGATGATTTATACGGAAGCATCGCCAAGCGATTTCAGACTTTTCACCATAAGAAGAAAGAGTCACACAATTGAAATTCTTATATGGACGATGCTTGGGTAGCAATTCATTTGCCAGGCAGCGTTCTCAGAAACGTTGTTAGCCTTCAACGATGCGCAAAAGTTATGTGAAAAGCGTCGAACCATACTCAAAGAAATTTTTTGCAACTGGCTCGAACCTTTCTCCTCCGCAGAGGTTTTAAATCGGGGAAATGTGAAGCACATCATATATTGTTCATATTTCTGTAAAGATACAAGATTATAATTACAATGTTGGCATTATTTTCTGCTATCTATGTTGTGAAGAGTGATAGTCGATACATTATGTCTTTTATATTTACTTTGGGAAATCCGTAGTTTAACATTTTTACAAAAGTTGAAAAAAGATCACTAAACCCAAAAACCACTATCCACCAACCTTGTAACAAGCCGTTGACGACTTGTGAACAAGCCGGGAACAAGCAAGTCGCCGAACACATCCTAGCTGGCGCCGGTTGTATAAAAAAGTGATTAAAGTTAACTATAGTTAGTGGAAACGTCATCCAATAAGAAGCGCGTATTTGAGAGTTAATCACTATTTAACTACAAAATAGTGATTAAAAAGTAATTAAGAGTTTTATACAACCGGCCCCTGATGACAAGTTGTTGGAACAGCATTGCTCCACAAGTCTGTTGCAGGTTTGTTACAACTTGTGCGTTTTTACGTGTGTAGTAATGTGCAGTCCTACTATGTTTAATATTTTACTATTTCGACTTCCTTCCTGTTTTCCTACGAGTTGTGTGGCTTTTTTTGGAGCTCATAAAGTTCTTTACAAAGTTCGCTTCCTCTTGATTCTCCAAAGATTTCCCTTCGCCTTTGAACGAAAATTCTCCGGGAATGCGAAACCCTGCGTTTCTAATTTTCGGTTTTTCAAACGGCGCGTTCAGAAGCTGTTTATTCATCGATTTTCCATCGGCAACATCGCTTACAAATTTTTGCATCATGGGTGCCATGGGAGATTTATCCATTCCTACCCCCATCCCTAGGCCCAGATCGCTTTTCTGTCCGGGTAAGAGGCTTGGATTCAGAGCAGCCTGGGGCGAGACTTGAGGTGAATCACCGCCTCCCATTGGCTGGAAACCATTGACGCCAGCGTTGCCTGGCAACATGCTGTTAAGTCCTTGACGGTGCATGCTTGTCACGGGAGGTGTGTCTTTCATTTGGTATTCTGGCCATTCTGCGTTGGTCATACTTACACTGCCGTCAGGGTTGTATTGCTCACCGTAGCCGGCTAATATTTCACCTTTTTGTTTGCCGGCAGTATTTTTTGGTTGGTTACCGCGTTTTGGGCCCAGAATGTCTCCTAAATTGTGATCCATCTTCGAAATCTGCATGGCTATCCCGGGGTCGAGGCCTTGACGCGCGAGGTCCTCTGTTTCAAAGAAAAAAAGGCGTAGACCATTAGCGTGATATTAGTTACTGGTTATAATTAATGGATTTATTTGATGATAATAAGTGAGAGGCTTGAGCTAGGGAAATTAATGTCCTTCAACCGAGATCATTGAAGAAGAGCAAATCTGTGGCAAACTTGTCATTAGGGAACTTTAGATTCGATACGGCTACGAAATGTGGTACAACTACGAGATTTTTCCCGTTAAATATCTGCTACCACAGACTTTCTATCGTCCTTTCTTTTGCATACCACATCTTTATAGCAACAGTTGCGCCAAATCACGTACTATTATAAGTTTTTAGTAGCTGATATTTAATGGAAAAAATCTCGTAGTCGTACTAGATTTCGTAGCCGTAGCGAATCTAATGTCCCCTATTGTGTTATTTTCTAAGTTCCTAGAAGTCTGTCTTTAACAACTTGATATCATTTTGTTCAATTGCACGAGGACAACAAGTTTCATTAGAACAGTCGTCAGTTTTTTTGTAGCAAGTCTACACGTGTAAAATTCTCGCAGCTTGTCAACAGGATGTGTTCGCACTGCTTTTTCCCAGTTGTTGACAAGTCTGAGACAAGTTGTTATTATTTTCTAACGTAACAAGGTTGATGAGGCCAACAGACTCGCAGCAAGCTGTTCCCGAACAAGTCTGATATCGTCTGCACGTAACAAGATGTTAACAAGTTGATGACAATGTTGATGTTACACGAACAGCCTCTGTTAGTGTTGTTGGAACAACTTGTAGCAAGTCTGATACTACCATCAACATTTTAACAAGGTGATGATAACAACTTGTTCCACACTTGTCACAACAACTGGGAACAAGCAATGCGAACACATCGTGATATCGGCTTGTCAGTTACAATTTGTTTGCAGATATGTAACAACTTGTGCGTTTTTAGTAGTTTTTCATAATGTGTAGTGCAGGCCTGTAAGGCTGTAACAATTTGTAAACAAGGGCGGCTAGGAACAAGAAAAAAAAGAACACAACAAAATATCATCTTGTCGGAACAATCTTGTAACAAGTCCACAAGCCTGTAATATATACTCACGAGTTTCTGAGTTGACTTCAGGATTCATAAACATATCATTCATGTTGTCCAATTTATTAATCTCGCTGAGTTCATCCTGATTTAAGGCGGAGGGATTTCGAATCAGATCTAAGAAAAACAATGCAAGTCGTATAGAAAAATAATTACTGCAAACCATCTAGTGAATACCAGGATGATTTTATAAGATTTATATTTACTATTCATGCTACTAGTAGCCACACTATCTGAATATTAGGCCTAGTAAAAAGATAAATTAATTAGCGTTTTTTAAAATTTTTTTTTCGGTGGGGGAGAGGTACGTGTTATTTTTATATTTTAGATGAATATCTAAATATTAACATATTTAAAACAATATCGAGTTTTTAATACCCGATACTGCATAGAACAATAATATGGACTATATTTATAACGACAGAATGCCAGATATGTGATTTTGGTTTATTTATGAAAACGTAAACAACTATACTACCGAATTCTTCGGAATAGAGGGTTTCTAGGTATTTATAAACAAATAAGGGTCTCAGTTTAAGATTTCTGACTGGTAAATGTGCACTATAAAATTATATTCACCGTTAATATTCTGTGTTGGATGAAAATTATGTCTCTTTACGGTCTTGCCCTCGGAAACTCTATCAACTGAGGAGAAACATGTATTAAATATTATAGATATGCTGATAAATAAAAGCGAATTAGTGGGGAAAAGCGAGAAGAGATCCAAGTAGTGTTTTTACCTAACATTTTTTTATAAAACAATCCATGTTTTCGCTTTGTTCCTAAATAAAAAATATATAAAGGAAGCTAAAAGTTAGTGAACTGTTAGAAAATATCTACATGACACACAGAATTATTTAATAAGAAATGAATGGCTTTAGAAATGCTCTGAGTTTTATACATCACGCCGTGATAGAACACTTATAAACATCAGCGTTATTCAAACAGAACTGTACTTTTATCAATGGAGTTCATCACTGATTGATCTGACACAACAAACCACAGACAGAAATATATAGTTTTCAAATAGATTATTCAAGTACTTTAATTTCACTTTTAACTTTATATAATTAATCTCACCTGCTCTTACGACCGTGAAACAATGGATCGCAAAGGCGACATATGCTAGAAGATATAATTTATATGTTAACATAATCAGCGCTAGATAAATTGCCGACTACAATGAGTTTTCTACACCTTACAGCTCAGTGACCTTCGTAAATAAATAAATAAACTACCTGCTGCTAGCGCTTTATCGTGATGCAAATTGATAAAACTAATTTGGGTTGAAAGCTAATCTACGAACTTTTACACTCAAATTTGACAATTCTTTTCCGATGAAAGTACGGGAATTTCGGAGGCAAAACTAACTTAAATTCTTAGTATAATGTAGTGAAAAACAGTCAAAGTATCAAGCAATGTTATTTTCTATCAATACATCTTTAGCAAGTACTTCTCATACAATTGACGAAGCGTTTAGACCATTCACGCTTCGGTGGGTACGAATTTAGCATTTTTTGCGGATTCGCATTCCACTCACTGATCTCATGAAGTTGCCAGAGGACTCGCGCCGACTGTAGTGGCCTGGGGCGACTTGTTACTACGAACAACAAAACAATATGTCGGATGGCAGAAATATAATTATATTGAATTTCAATAATGTTTTTGGGCTTTTTCGTGGAAAAACATTCAACGAAAGGACAGAAATTTATCGTATAGTATGTCATCATTCAGTATGAATCCATTTTAAGGCATTAAGACCTCTGATATTTTACAAAAGTCGCCTTTTTGAACGGATTTGTACTGTTGTTTTCAAAGCTGAATTCTGTACAGACGTCAAAATACTTTGATTAATTGTCAGGTATCGGATCAAAGCAGTGGGTATACTATATTGGATGTTGGTATTTTGGTGAAATTATCTTGAAATATTGCTATATTCACTGGCTATTAACGGTGTTGAATAAGGACAGGCAAAGTGAATATTTTTACAGAAGATATTTATCAGTTAGAATATGACACAAGTGGATGATATACAAAGTTTTATTGCTGCACAAAAGAGGAGGATTGAAGAAGAACGAGCTGGTTTGAGTCAACCAAGTATTGATCATCGAGATGTGAGTGAAATATGGCAACATTTTAAGACCCATTTACACAATACAACTAGTCGTATATGTGGTCATCCTGGTGTATGAAAGCAACTGCTAACGCCACTATATTCCTATTCATCAGTTTCATTATGATGAAATTTGAAAATGTGACATCTTTACATGCGTTTACTCGAGTACATACGCCAGGATAAGAATCATATACAACTAGTTGAATGTATTGGCGGGAAGTTAGTAGGTGACAAAGGGCCTTCGCTCGATCGAGACATTGAAGTTCTCCCAGTTGTATCCCTATCAATCTGAAGCTTTCTTATTTATTTATATCTGTTTGCAGGTTGCTCAATTGAATTATGAAAAAGATTATAAAACACCACAAAACAATAGTACTAAGTGAGTATGACTAGGCGTAAAAAAAAATACCTGTGGTTCCGGTTCCCAACCAACCCTATTTTTTTCTGTCGACCCTATTATTTTTTCAACGTGATTGACCGTGCGACCCTATTTCCTCCAGGTGGTTGCAGGCTGCTCATACAGCATGCCAAAATGGCGTCTGTTGTCACAATAATTATTGAACCAAATTGCCTCAATTCGTCCATAGGAAATACGCACCTCTAGTTAATATTGATGTCGGGACTCTACTGCAAATCGCCCAGCAAAAAACCGGCAAAACCATGAAAAAAATATTAAAAAAAAAAATTATTTCCGACCTACCGACCCTAATTTCTTCACGATATGAAACCGGAACCACAGGTATTTTTTTGTACGCCCTATGTAAATGTTATGTAAACTATAGAAGATATATGAAGCACATGTATGACTTAAGTAACTTGTCTCAGTAGCATAGCCAGGGTTTAGAAAGTGAGGGGGACAAGTTGAGTGCCAAAGGCGCAAAAAATCTGGGGGGTGGGGCATGCCTACCCTGGGAAAAATTTGAAATTCAGAGCCTATGAAACCCCATTTCGTGCATTTTGGGGTAAGATTTTACAAAATTCAGAAGATTATAACATCATAAAATACACCAAAAATATTACATTTTAAGACTTTGAACTATTTAATTTTAAAGTGAGAGGATTCAGAAGATTATAACATTATATAAAAATATACACGAAAAATAGTACATTTTACGACTTTGAACTATATGCAATTTTCCTAATTTTCCTATTTACAATGGTAGCTTTCTGTTTTTAGCTAAAAATTGGATCAGTATTGGCCGCCAGTTTCTCAACAAATTTAAACATTGGTTCTGAAGGAGTGTGGGGGAGACTCATCCCCCCAGTCCCCCCCCCTGGTGCACATAATATGATTTTGTTTGGCTGATTTTTTTTGTGTGGTTTTGAGGTACTTCAAAACTGTCCTGTACTGTTATGGGTTGTTTTGTGTACATTTGTAAATAAAAATGTCTTGTCTGTGTTTGTAAATTTAGTGTCACAAGGCAAGAGCAACCAAAAGGTAAAACATTTTGTTTGTTAACAATAGTAGTGTAATATCTGTGAAATAATTAACCCATCATATATATACTGAGTATGCCAAGAATCTTTCCTTTCACAAGTAAAATTATAAAGTGACTTAAGAAAGAAAGTATGGTGCATCAGAGCATATTGCACTTTAATATATTTTACAAATTCCTTCATAAGTAAAACTATCTCGGGTTGGACAGAATGAAGTAATATAATATAATCAGGGCAGGGATGGATCCAGCATGATCTGGGGGGGGGGTGCTCTGCCAGCTCTGGTGCCGAGTTGTGTCGGTCATGTGTGCCGCCCGCCCATCAACTTGCTGGACTACTGCAAAGTCTTGCCCGACTACTGTATTTGAATTGTAATTGTTGTTCACAGTTTGCTTATCATCATGTTATTACTCAAATTACTGTATCTCATTTTGTCTCTAATAATTTTTTGCTTTATCATGAAAAATAACACACACACCCCCTGCACCCCCTCTGGTCAGGGCTAGGGGGTGCACACCTCCCCGCACCCCCCAGTAAATCCATCCCTGCATTGCAGTTTAATGGGTTGAATAGTTTATATTGTCATGTTTAGCACCAAAAGAAGATACCTCTTCACCTGGCGGGCTCCAGTTGGGTGCATATGAGAATGTTCAGGAAAAATTACGAAAGGAAAGATCTGAAGAATATAGGAAATTTCTGGCTGAGGTACAATACACCCTTCTGGAAAGTTTGTCACTTTGGCAAAAGATCCTCGTTTTCATGTCAGGCACGAAAACAAGACTTTATTGCCAAAGTGAGATATACTTTCCGGAAGTGCGTAATATGACACTGCACATCAGTGTTGACTACATTGCATGAAAAGTGTGTTTTAATTTATTTATTACATTGGTCTACATCAGTTGCAAATTTTTTTAAATGTTTAGAAGAATTACAGAGCAACTGGTCAAAAATCTCCTAGAGACCAACCACCAGAAAAGGTATGACAAAAGGTTTGAATATTAAAAATATTGTGTAGCATTGTATGTCATTCAGTGAACGTTTGTTGCACGCTTGTATTTGCAGCCATCAATGAAAAGTGTACTTAAGCAAGACTATGGATCACCCAGAGCTGCTCAAGCAAAGCCTGCGTTATTTAATGGTGACTTTCATGATTCACAGGTAATTGCACTTTGTTTAATTGTGATTATACTGTGTAGCGTTGTTGAAGAGATCATAAAAAATATTGCATAAGTTTATTATGGGTCGTTTTTTTCAGCATCGGTTGTTTTCAGTGTCCAGGGTTTCCAGAGTTATTCCTTTCAGGCTTCGGGTTTTCAGCGTCATTGTTTTCAGGATCATTTGCGTTCAGGATCGGTTGTTTTCGGCGTCGGTGTTTTTAAGCTCGGTGTTTTCAGAGTCGGAGTTTTCAGGGTCGGTGTTTTCAGCATCGGTTGTTTTCAGGCTCGGTGTTTTCAGGGTTGTTTTCAAATCCCAAAATACGCTTATCATGCTTCTGAGTACATATCTACCCATTGCACATGATGTCACAGCGCCGGTGACGATGCATCTGGAGGACAAATTAGCAATCTATTCATAATATAACTTTTGTAAACAAAACAACTTTTTAAAAGTTTATAATAATTTTGTATTAAAATGGTTAATTTGTGTACTGTATGTGGTTGTTGTACCCAAACAGATATTATTAGGGAGCATCTGGAGGACATTCTAAGGATTTGTGACATCAGTGCAATGGGTCTATTTTATTGTACATGAGTGATTTTTAAATCTGTTCATTTTTGTTTCTCATTCTCGATTTTCAGAGAAGACTCTTAGATAACTCATCAGATCAACGAAATATGCGGCAAGGTATGATGACAATTCCTCTATTAAGTTTGTCAATGTTTAACATCAAGCTTGATATACAGTAAGTGTAGTTTTTCAACAGCCTTTGATAGCTTTTGATGTGCTTATTCTAGCTCCACGGGATCGGCCTCAAAAGACATTGGACGAGTTATACGATGCATATGAAGAACTCCTGGAGAGGAAACGGCAAGACGAAAAAAGATACAGGTCAGCAGGGATGGATCCAGCATGATCTGGTAGGGGGTGTGGTTTGCCAGCTCTGGTGCAGAGTTGTGTCTGAGGGTCTGAAAAGTCTGAGGGTCTAATCCATTGTCCGAGAGAAGCCGATAAATGTCCGATTAGTTTTTCTTGGCTGGACATTCGTCCTTCCAAGCAAAATAATTATTTGTAGGTCTGCAGTGTACTATTGAGTTATATTGATAGGCCATGTTTTGGTTTCATTTTTTAGAGGTGCCGGTAACGTGGACGATCCATACCTGAACTCGAGGTAAATCTGACTGTCTGGTCAAGCTACCGAATTAGAGCACTTGAATAAGATATGATTGACACCATTTGCTATCTTATACGATGTGTAATATTTGTTATTCTGAGTCATTTGTTTACCTCATTCAACCATTATTTTAATGTTTCATGCAATTTTCTTTTTCAGACACGTACGTTTTAACGATGAAACTGGTTATAAAACGCAAAGTCAAAGAGAGTATGTATCCAAACTTTGAACAGTTTATAACAGAGGCGCTTACTAAGCAAAGCCGGATTTTGGTGGAAATAGTGGGGGAGGTGAAAAAAATAGGGGAGGTGCAGCAGTCTAGCTCACAACCCCCATGGAAAGTTAGGGCAAAGAACGGGCCAAAATTAACGACGTGATGTATGCATGTAGTGTACATATGTATCAGTGTATTAATGAATTATGACTGTAGAACTCATCCGATTTTGCCCTTCATTACAATTACTACAAAGTTTCTTTCAAAACATTGCATTAGAAGGGTACTTGACACAGAGATGAATGGCTATCACTGTTTCAATTTTACAGAAAAACTTTCTTACGAAGTGTAGACCGTAAGCAACCAAAAAATGTCAAATTTTCACTTTGATCTATCATTGAAACTTTCTCAAGGGGAGGTGCATGACTTTTCAGGGGAGGTGCAAAAATTCTCAGGGGAGGTGCAAAACGATCTCAGGGGAGGTGCGCACATCCCCACACCTCCCCTCAAAATTCTGCCATGTTACCAAGGTCTAGTGGATTTTGGTTTGATCTAGGACTTTATATAATACATTAATTACATTTCTAGACCATGGCTTGAGAATGGTAGTCGACGGCGTTGGGGCCATCCTGACAAGGAATTCGACCGTGGAAGGAGATACAGTAATAGTGATCACGCAGATTCGAGAAATGTAGAGGATTTCCAAGAAAGATCACGTGGCAGGAGACAAGAAGTTCCAGAGGACAGAGTGTCCAGATCTGCCCCACCCACAGCTGTACCACTGATCGGAGGTAAAAACGGATACTGTGAGAACAATGTCATCAACATTTTCTCTCTGTAGACAAACAATACGTCGAGTAGTATTATCTTTTAAATATGTTTGAAGCGAAACCGGGGTTAGGCCAAAAAAAAAATATGTGGGTTTCCGGTTTCTTCGTATAAAAACTTAGGTAGGGTAGGTTTTAACTTTTTTTTTAAACTTTTTTTTAATTTTCCGAATAAGCGGACGCCATTTGGTTTAGTCAGTGCTTCCACATCCAAAGATAAATTTCCCTAATATTGCCTCAAATTTCAATTTTCCACAAACTTTTTCCTCTAAGTGGAAACACTTACAAGCATGATCCAATAAAA